AAAGTCTTTGGTGAGGACTTCAGAATAATAAAAAAGGTGATAAAATCCAACAGATCTAGCCATTAAAGTAAACCACAGGGTTGATTAATTCCTCAACAGACCCAAGATTTCCAAACATTTATGCATATAATCCTGGTTCTGGGAAGTCTGATTAAAATCTGTTCCAGGAATAGTGCTAGAAAACTGCATAGTACACCAACAAAACATGCTACAGTGTGAATGATCCCCCTAGAAGTTGTGCAAGGCACGGTCCCTGACGCGAACATTCTGATTCTCTAGCTAAGTTGTGGTGAGGTAGAAGAGTGAACTGGTACAGGTGGTCCCAGTGACGAAGAGCATTCTCGGTGAGAAGTGGGCATGCAGAAAGTGGGTAAATGCTGGGATTCCCAGCGCATCTTCCCAACACAGCCATGGAGCTGCATGGGATCATGTGGAGCTTGCTGAGGAAGGCTACACTGAACAATAAAGCTGAAAACAGGGTGGTCTTTCTTCCCTTTCAAATGTAAATATTGGATGTAACAGATAAAAAACATATTCCTATGGAGTGGAATGAAGAGTGATACCATACTAGATGATGTTCAAAAAATGTACTTTTTGTCCAATGCAAATCATCTTTACAAGGTAGTATCCTATTCATTATGGCCATGAGAAAAAAAATCTCTGAAATTCATTGAAGAAAAACAAACAATGCTCCTCCCCCACTAAAAAAAAACACCAAAACTTAAAGGCAGCAGTGGATGAAGAAAATAAGGATCATTTTACCCATGAAGAAACAAGGCCTACAGAGAATGGAGAAATAGACGGCATTGAGTCAACTGCCTCAGCCAAAAGGTAGTCAGCAGAGGTTAGCCGCACATCCATGTGAGGAAAAAGACATCAGTGACTCAGGGTGGCCTGGAACACATCTAGAAGAGCCATCACGTCTTAGAACCGCAGTCTGTATCATTCTTTCAGCCAGAGACTGTGAGGCAATACATTGAGCTTCCTGTTTACACAGTGCAAAGCCTGGGATATGCATACTTTATAATGTGTCACAGGCCACCAGAGCCAAGGTTTAATGAAAGGACATTCCAAAAACTACAATTTTCTATTCTCTGTTACTTGAGTAGCTTGAAGGAAAGACTATTACACTATTGATATAAAGAAAACAATGAAGAAAATATATACGACAAAATTGACGACATACACAGCACATGGAATGTCACTGTGTCATAAATAGGCAGTTAGTTGTGATCATTTATTATGAGAAATTAAGATTCTAATGAATCCAGAAAAGGATAAGAATTACAGATTATGCTCTATTGTCAATCGTTTTTTCTGTATCATTAAGACATATTTTCTCTACTGCTTTGGAATCTGGTAATAATGTAGGTATTGAGACAGTCTTGCTTACAAAGAGCTTTCATTTAAAAGTCTAAATCTTTAACAAACTGCCACATTGTAGAGATTATTCTTGAAATATTGTGAATAAAAAAGTGAATTAATGACAAAAAACCTCACTGGGTTACAATAACAAGGATTTATTCTCAGGCTTACAGGTCTAAAGGCTGACTGTGTGTTGGCTGATCAGGGCTGGGCTCAGCCGGGGGGGGCTCTGCTTCAGGCTTTTGGCTTGGGCTCTGGTCTGCTCTGTGAGTGTTCATTCAGGGGCCCAGGCTAAAGTGAGCATTAAATATCCAGGACACATTCTCTCCCTGGCACATGACCAGAGTCCAAGAAGGCAGGTCTAACCATACAAGTGCTTTTTAAGTCTTTGACTTAGATCAGATCCACTAATTGGCCAATTCAAGTCACATGACCAAGCTCAAAGTCAAGGGGCAGGAAAGTACATTCTGGCCACCATGAGGCCATGCAAGTGTGGGGATATATAATTCTATTATAGGAAATGACAAATTAGGACAAAAATGGAATCTCCCACATTTCTCTTATTTTTCTTCAAGCTCAATACTTCTCTTTCTTTAATCATGTCCCATAGGACATGGCTTCTAGATCTTTTACCATACTGACAATGTTTTTTTCTATATGAATTTTAGTTCTTCAGCATTCCTATTAAATCACAATGCTCAGAACTGAACACAGCACTCCACATGTGGTCTGACCTGTACTGATTTCGCTTAGTGAAATGTTTGGTGGCTAAAAAGTTCAAAACCTTATCTAGATAAGTGCACTGCCTAGAAAATATAATAGAAATGAAATGGTTTGGGGGAAATTTTAAAAATAAAATATCTGCTGTCCCTTTTTTTACTTGAGTACTAGTTCAAGACATTTTTTCTTCTAAAGCATAAGGGAGGTCATTCAGAGTAATAAACCCAGGTTCCACATAATATTAGAGAAGTTACTCTCTCTCTAAATTCTGTTTTCTCATCTCAAGAACCAAATTCTCTACCTCAATAATATTCTTAGGCCATTTTAGAGTTTATAAAGCACTTAAATATATATTCTCTAAATTAATTTCATTTAATTCTTAACAACTCTGAGCTAGGAATTATTTTTTTCCCTGCCTGAAAGATCAGGAAATTGAGGGTTAGATGGAAGTAGAATACTTCCTTTGTCCAGTGAACAATGTCTCTCTTACCTCCAGGCCTGCAGGGAAAAAAAGAATTAACTTATTCATACACATTACTTATAGATTATTCTTGTCTATAACATAGAAACTTATGTACATACAGGCATTATATAATATTTATCTTACTAACACAACTACGATAGATACACTACAGGTTGAGTATCCCTTATCTGAAATGCTTGGAACCAGAAGTGTTTTGAAATTTTGACTTCTTAGAATTTTGGAATATTTGCATATATATGATGAACTATTTTGGGGATGGGACCCATGCCAAAACATGAAATTAATTTATGTTTCATATACACCTGGTACAAATAGCCTGAAGGTAAATTTTATACAATACTTTTAATAGTTTTGTTCATGAAACAAAGTTTTGACTGCATTTTGACTGTGATCCATCATCACGCTGGTGCTAAGTTTTGGATTTTAGAGGATTTGGAATTTTTGGATTAGGAATGCTCAACCTGTAATTAGTGACTCTACATTCCTTATTTATCCTGATTATTATTTAGGCATTTGTAATGGAATATGTTAAACATATTAAAAGTTATAGATTTAACTGAAAAAAATGAGCTCATGTCTAAATGAATGGTAATAACAGCAGTTATAAACAACATACAACATAAACACAACACATATAAATTTGGGGGCATTATTTTTAATGTAATAAAAATTAATTTCTTAAATTTATAACTCAAAGTTATGCTTCAAAGAATGATGTTATGACAATTAAGAAACTTGCACATGATAAAATAATAACTGTTTGTTCATTCTTTAGGTACACATTCACAGCATGGCCAGTCTGCCATCCTAGCCTGGCCAAAGACACTAAGCTATCTTATTGAATACTGAATTTTTCTTTGAATTCATAGAAATTACAAATGTAATCCGCAAATCTCTTACTTTCTTCCAAAAGAATCATTTTAAGCATCTTATGAAAACAGACTAGGTCACTGAAGGGAATTAGCACCATCTAGTGAAAGAATCTGGCAAAACTTGAGGATCACGGAAAATTGCTTCTGTGGCAGTATAAGAGAGCTGCATAAGAGACTATATAAGAAAATACAGAAAACTGTAGCACTAACACCCCATTATGACTATTATGACTACATTTTATTAATTTATATTGAACTCTGACACTTTAACTATGAATATTACATTTGTTTTTAAAACCTAATACTCAGTATAATCAATCATTAACAATTTGCCAGGAATATTCTAATTATTAAATGTTTAAAAGGAAGATAATTTGCATGGATAATTTGTTGGAGGCACCATTAAATAAGTATGATCCATTAACACACTTTCCTGTCCTCTAACTTGTAGTCACATTTAAAGGGCCTTGACTTTATCTTGCAGACCTTGGGAAGTCAAAACATTTTTGAAATAGGGAAGATTAGTTTGGTGGCCGCATACAGGATGGATTCGCACAGAAAGCGTGTCAAAGAAAGATGAACTGGTTGGGGACTGATGGTGGTAATCTAAACTGGAGATGTCAAGGCCTGAACTGAAATACAAACAAAGGGTGTACTGAGAAGGGTGAATGAGTGTCCACTGCGGGATCCATTTGGGATCACTACAACACGCAGGATGTCTCTAAACTACTGCAGTAATTTTTTAAAAACTGGTCATACTTCTTTATATCTTTTCCTTATTACCTTAAACTGTTATTGGAACTCATACTTTTTAAATCGTATTCCTCCTGCTAAAGGGTAAGCTCCTCGAAGACCCTTAGCATGGATGTTAAACAAATAATGATGTAATTAAAACAATGTGCTTGTGGGATCACTTATTTCAATGGCATAACTGTTGTGGAAATGACTAAAAATAGTGGGTTTTCTCTCCCTATTATTTAAAGAATCTTCTTGTGGAATTTAGAAGTTTTGTGTTAATTATGTACATTACAAACTCTCAAATTTGTGATCATTGCATCATAATTTTTTGCTGGTGGATGAAAAGGCAATTTGAAATGAGTTGGTCCTTTTAACTGAATCTTTGGATAAAAAGATTAACTCATCTATTATCCCGTTTTTCCTCTCAATTTCAAGATTAAATTATACTGCCTATCCCCAAAAGGCACCACAACAACAAATTACAGATTATGGCTTATACTAAAGATAAATATGAAATCATAAAAACCAAAAAGAGCACATATACAGCCTTTAAAAATTTACTTCTAATATTTCAACTATACAGCAACATTGTTAGTAATGCAAAATAAAATTTAATGTAAGCTAAATTCTACTCTAAAATTCTAAAACACTCTAGCCAAAATTTTTATTTTCCTATTTTTGCTTTGTAGTGCCTAAGAATATTATGCCTTTAAAAGGCATAACATAAACTTCTATTCACTGGAATTTCTAAGCCAGTAAATTTCAGCAAGAATGATCACTTAGACCAGAAGCCTGAACAGTCACAGCTATGAGACACATACCTGAATTAAGGAAGAACTGAGGAGAATCTCCATGAATGCCCACTGTACCTGGCCCCAGGGAGTCAGACAGGGTATTCACAAAGGAAAATACTCCACTCATGATTCCAAAGCCCAAGCCAGAAACTAAAGAGGAAGAAAAACACCGTTAAACTCTTTTCCTGCTATGATTTCTCTGCAAATCAAATTTCCAAGGACTAGGTATTAATAAGACCATGTTGTTGGCAGGGAAAGGGTACATATGTTGTTGTTGAAGAGCAGCTGACTCTGGAAAGGCACGTGCTTGGCTGCATGATGAGTGAAGGGGGAAGAGCAAAGGCAATGAACGGCAGAATGCAGCAGAGAAATAAAAAAAGGAGAGAAAAAGATCAGGCAAGGCACAGAAGAAACAGGTGCAACAGAGGAGGACACGATGCTGAAGTTCTGGCTTTAGTTTATAACAGAGTCTACAGAGTTGTTTGGCTTAAAACTGGAATTGAGCTTAAGGGGGACTATGTATTCCTGGGCCAAACTGGAGGACCTGGATCCAATCTATAAACATAATTCTGAAAGAATAATATGCAGAGGTATTAACTGCATTAATATGAAGAATCCTTCTCAAATAGCCAGAGTCATGCTAAACATCCAGACAAAGTAACAGTTACATCACTTAGAAAATCTCAGTTAACTAGAGTACATACATGTTAAAAACCTAACTTTCAAACCTGGTTAATATTTAATGAACATACAGATAAGGGTCACCTACAATCACTTTCCTTTACATAAGGAACATAGAAAACTGGAAAAATAAATAATGTATACCAATAAGCCAAAGCACTAATAAAATACTATTTGAAATTTAAAAAGATAAAAAAGATAAAAATGACTTTAATGCCAAATCTGATTTTTTTTTTATGACACCACACAATTCTAACTTACCATAGGCCAGTAATTGCATAGAGGGTGCTGTCTCACCTGGGTTTACACTCTTCAAACCCTCACTGGCTTTTCTAAAATAAGAACACACAAAAATTAAAAAAAGAAAAGAACAGCAGTATATGAGGAAAGTACACAAGATACTTCAAATCCAGAGACTTGAGGCTTTGGATCAGGTTATATTCTACTATAAATTTAGAATTCATTTGAGCAAAACCCAGCAAATTTTTAATGAACTAACATCAACCAAAATTTCCAATTAACTTTTGTCTTTTACCTGACTTCCACATAAAAGAAAAAAGAAAAATATAAGTAAACAAGCCATCATGAATTGAGTTTAACGAGAAAAAAAGCGATACTTCTGAGTACTTTGTGAGCTCAGTAAACATTTAATTTGATATCCTATGAGATCTATCACTCTAATTTTTTTTTCTCTTCCCAAAGTACTATATTTTCATTCCCACTTTGTTGTATCTTCCACCAGGGCTATACTTATCCTGCCACTCTCCCTTGCACCTCCACTCCACAGAACCTAAATTGTACTCATCCCTCAAAATCCAGTTCAGGAAGCAATTTGTTAAAGAAGCTGCCTCTACCAATGGTTGGTAATCACTAATCTCTCCTTAACTTTAAATCCTACAATACTCATGGTCTGAACTCTCATATGGGCACTCAAACATATGATCTTTTGATTCTAAAATATTTTACATATTTGTTTTATATCCCCAGTGAGGCTTCAGGCATAAAATGCTACCCTCAGACTAGGAGATAAATGAATACTTGAATGAAAGGATAGAATATTGCTCAATAAGAAATGATCTTCCGAGTGATGCTTCTGATATGGCCAGTTCACAAACTGACCTCGAGCCCCCACACCCCAGCAGATGTGTTAGGATGCCAGGTGTGGCTGCGCAGTTCCACTCCCATCACAATTACTAATCCTTGTTAGGTAGAAA